TCCTTCTCGCATAGAAACGTGTCTTCATCGTACTAATGTAGTTCTCTGCCAACCTATTCGATTTGCTGTATGGGGCTGACCTAAAGTGGTTTACTAGAGAAATAATTACATTAATATACTAATATATTGAAGACTAATACATTCATTATAGAAAATAAATCTAAGACTAAAAATATATAGAATGAATTAAATTTTACTGGTCCGAATTACTTTATATATATTTATTGTTATATGAAGTATCATTTTTAAATAGGTGGGAAACTATATATAAGTAAAATATTATCGCATTTGTAAAACTATATACCCCCCCCCCCCCCGACAATCTATATTGGCACAACTAAAACGAATAATTATGAAAATTTTAGAATCTAATATATTTATTAAATTAAAATTGAAAGCATTATATAATTATGTCAGGCTAAGCCTAAAAATCGGCTAAGCCTAAAAATCAGCTAAAATCGGCTGAGACTAAAAATTGACTAAGCCTAAAAATTGGCTAAAATAAATTAGTCAAAAATTCTGCATCGATACTTTAGCATTAATTATTATTTATTTATTTTAGTAAAATAATTTATTTTATTTATATTTATATTTAATGTAAATATTTTATTATCAACAAATAAACATGATATGATTTAATATTTTTTATTTATATTATTATATTTTGAAATGAAAATAAATTTATTTATTTGATGTTTTTTTAATAAAAATAATAATATGCTGCTATTGTAATTGTAATATTCTTTTTAATACAATTTACTAGTGATTTTCACAATCTTCTTTGTAAATATATCTTTTATTGAGGAATTATATTGCAAATGTTATTAGATAAATAAACACTCTTTTAGGTGAAATCTTTTATAATATTTTTTTTATCATTTTTGTAAAATTATCTATTTTTTTATTAAATGAGGTGGTTTTTTCTAAATAATTTTTTAAAAATATTTATATTAAACATTTTTGATGTTATTTTATATGATCTTTAGAGGATAATATTTTAATGTGACAATTGTCATAATCGTTATTTTTAAAGATTTTTGAATTTTTTTTGACGAAAATATGTTAAAATAAGTATTGATACCATGTTTAAATAAAATTTAGTGAAGATGTATCATAGAAAAGTGACAATTGTAATAATCGTTATTTTTAAAGTTTTTTGACGAAAGTTTAAATAAAATTTAGTGAAGATGTACCATAGAAAAGTGACAATTGTCATAATCGTTATAAGTATTGATAATATGTTTAAATAAAAATTTAGTGAAGATGTACTCTAGATAAGTGAAATCAAAAAACTTAAAAAATAACGATTATGACAATTGTCACTTTTCTATGGTACATCTTTAGTAAATTTTATTTAAACATGTTATCAATACTAATTTTAACCTATTTTGACAAAAAAATTCAAAAAACTTTAAAAATAATGATTATAACAATTGTCACATTCAGAGGCGGACTGGCCATAAGACCAGGTGGGCATTTTGCCCAAGAGGCATCGAGAAAATGTCGATTTTTGAGGCCGATCAGAGTAGAATATCAAAAAAGAGGCCGATTAGAAAAAAAATATATTATGTTCACATTATTTTCTCTTATCATTTATTTATTTTTAATGATATCTATATGATTTGAATATCACATTCCTTGACAATTGTCATGTCGTTTACTATAATTTAATGCATAAAATAACAGTAACGTCGCTTGACGCTATACATTATTACCACGTTCTTTCCTTTGTTTTTTTTTTCAAATGAAGAAAAAACGCTTCCGTTTGAGTAGAATGAAAGCTAAGTTTTGATTAATTCATTATATTACATTTTTACACATTGATTTATTGTAGAAATAATATTGCCAACATTTCTTATTCTTAATTCATTCAAATCAAATAAAATCCAAGTCGGTGAATCAGATAAAAGGATGGATGCTTGGATGAAACAGAATAATTCACTGGCCAAAATAAGTTGAGAAAGCAGCAAAAAATAGGATAGATAAGGTAGTGAGGGCACGTGAAAAAGCCCTTAGAAGATATATGGTAAAGAAAGCTTGCTCCCAATAACGATAAATGCACTTCAATTTATAATAGATAATAAATCATTTGAGACAAAAACTTGATAATTTATGTAAATTTAAGACTCAGTACAGATATAATATATTTGGAAATTATTGAAATAATGGGGCCATTGTCATATCTTCAGACAATAAAATTAGGTACTTTGTCAGCATCATAGAAAATGATAGAAGCTAAGTCTTCTGTATCATCGATTATTACATCGATTCAAAATAAAGCAATAAAATGGCTTCTAATTTAAATGAAACACTTTAATATTTAAAGCTCCCGGAGAGTATCAGGGTACAGAATGCTCTGCCAACAAACCGAATAGGACGAGCGAAGAGAATATATAAATGCCAAGATAAAAGTCAAGAATCGAGATCTTTATAGGTTCGGAGTATTTCGTCCTATAATTGATCAAATTATAAACAGCTTGTCGGAACGGCTCTCTGCGAATTGAGAGCTTATTTTGAATGTGCAATATTTGCATCCTAAACATTTTGATGAAATAAGTAGTAAAGATATATATATTGAGTGTTAAATTACGTAACGAATAATGTTCATTTGCCAGTGTATTCAAAGATTTGGTAGCAGAATTAAATGAAACGGACGATGATCGTATGTACAAGTGAGGAGTCAAATGAAGAAGATGTATGATAATAACTAAGAGTGTGATAATAAATGTAACAAGTGTTTAATAAGCGTGTATGAAATTAAGATGCAATATGCATACAAGTAACACTAATTTATTTTAGGCATGAATACATTTTAACTTTGTCATTTACGCAGGTTAATTGCGAGAAAGCATTTAGTAAATTAAAAATTATAGAAAAAGCTGAGAGCTAATATTGAACAAGAAAAATAAGAAGCGTTTTTAATGTCAGTTGAATGAGAACCATTAGCGCAGATTGAACTAGAAGATATTCTTGTATATTTGCGCAAAGGTTCAAAGTTAATGAGAGATTTATTAACGTAAAAATTATATATTTCCTTAAATCTTTTATTTGAATTTTATTAATATCTATTTACAATATGATCGGTGCCTGATTTTATAAGTGCAGCAATTTTATACGCTGTAATATTGTAAAACTGCAATAATTTTATATGTGTAATTAATTGATTTGATATATTAAGTATGTATTTTTTTATATTTAACATGTGATGTATGATTTGACTTTATAGTGCAATATCGTTATAAATCTAATATAAAATATATATGTGCAATGAATATTATTTTATATTGGGAATGAATATGATTTTAGATGTGCATTTTTTAAAAATAAAATATATGATTATCGTATAATACTATTCTTTTTTTTTACTAAAAATGTAAATCTTTTGAACTTATTTTCAAAAATAAGAAGTAATAAAAATCATATAAATCGAAGATACCATAAAAGGGAACCCGGTCGAAGACCGGGCAAAAGCGAAGTATGGGGGCTTCGCCCCCATATAAATTAGGCCGCTATAAAAAAATGCCCACGAGGCCGTAGCGTCGCCAGTCCGCCCCTGGTCACATTAAAATATTATCCTTAAAAAGATCATATAAAATAACATTACTTAGAAAAAACCACCTCATTTAATAAAAAAATATATAATTTTACAAAAATGATATAAAAAAAAATTATAAAAAATTTTACCTAAGACTGCATTCAAAGTGGATACGGATCTGTTTTTTACATCTGTTCCGTCAAAAGTCAATCTCATAAAAGATGATATATATATTGATTTTCATTCTTAAAAAATTATAAGTAACGTTATAACGCTCTATAAAATTTTCTGGATCAAAAAGTCAAAATGTTTTGACTTCAAAATTTGCCGGATTTGTTTTTAAGAGAAGGTATCGGAACGGACGCACTTTGAACATATATATCATTTTTAATGAGATTGACCTTTGACGGAACGGATGTAAAAAACGGATCCATCTCCACTTTGATAGCAGCCTAAAAGTATAAATAAAAAATATTAAATCATATGTTTATTTGTTAATAATAATAATAAATTATTTACATGAAATATAAATAAAATAAATTATTTTATTACTAAAATAAATAAATAATAATTAATGCTAGGCATCGATGCAGAATTTTTGACTAATTTATTTTTAGCCGATTTTTAGGCTTAGTTTTTAGCCGATTACGCAACACTAGGTATAACTTGATAATTTAACAGTACTTTAACATTTTACAATTTTAAACCCAGCCCATAATTGTATAATTGCTCATAGGTTTTGTATTCGGGTTTAAGTTAATTTTTTTCGAATTATGCTCAGTCGAGACACTAAACCAGGCCCAGTGTGCTGCCAAATCTACCCTTTCGAGAATTTTAACATTAGTTAGTTCTAATAAATTTTTCATGATCATTAGTTCATATTTATTGGTAAATTTTATTCTAACCTTAGAGATGCATATCTTATATACTAACCATAGAGTAACTTAGATAAAACACATCTTGAAAAATGTAAATCAATTTTTTTTAAACACTTAGATTTCAAAGTTTTTATTTGAAAAAATATGAAATATATACAACTTTTATATATATACTGTAAGTTTAAAATCCAGTCATACATGCATATTCATTATCTTTATTCACTCAACCAGTATCTATCCTCCTGATGGATAGATGAACTCCATGTTTCTTACCTCTCTGATGGCTAACTTACTACAAATATGAATCTGACAAAATGTTATACTATCATTAAACGATATAATTTTTATGAAATTTATAACAAAAATGTTATAAAAATATTGCCCATAAATATAGATATCTTTAGAAGCCATGCTTTTTTGAATAAAAGTTTTCCATTTTTAAATTGTAGGAAACTTTAATTTTGCTTATGTTATATAAGTAAAGTAATAAAATAAAACAATCTTCAAGGTATTTTATTTTAAAAAAAAATACAATATACATAAGATTCATATATTATATTATTCAATTATTTCTGTAATCATGAGCATTTTATAAGATAAGTATATTGATAAAATTTAAATACCATTAAAGAAATAAGGTTTTATATATATAGTATATTTATTATTAATGTAGAATTTGAGAAAATTTTTGAGAATTAAGTCATGACAAATCTTTGAAGCAGAGCCTTGTTCAAATTAGAGTAAAAATTAGCCAGGTTAGATGGTAAGGCAGCATGGATTATGGAATTGTGTAAACGACCTCCCAAATCAGCTTGTATGAATTTCACCATTCTAGTCTTATTGGGTTCACTTAAAGATGTTGACAAATAAAAAATTATATTTTGACATTATTATTTACATATTTTGTTTTTGTTGTATGACAATTAGACTATTTTTTAGTAGCTTAGTTAGGTAAATAGTAAATACCAAAGCACTGCAAGGATAGATTCGAGTTGGACCTTTTCTCGGACTCGGTGATCTTGATTATAAAATTTAAGGATCGGATTCAAACCTCGATAAAATTTTAAATTAATCTTTTTTACTAATGTTTTTATAAATATTTATTTTTTAAAAATGACACCATATTTATTTTTATTTTCCTTGAAGTAGTTTTGTTAAAGTCGAGTTTTTACTACTCCAAACTCAAGTCGGAGCCCAAAAACGGTCAGACTTGCACGGCTCAATAAGCAGCATAAGCTAACTCGCAAGCCAGGCTACTCAAGCGACTCTTTAGCTAGATTATTTTTTGATTTTTTTTTACATTTTAATCGCGACATTCAATTAGGAAGAATGAAAAATGTTAAAAGACCAAAATCGACTTAGCCATGACTCGATAGCTTCTATTAAAATCAAGTCCGACTTTAGTCAAAGAAGTATCACTTTCTAATAAAGTCAAGCATAATTAATATTTCCCTGTAAATTTTCATCATTATTTTAATTTACGAAATGTTCAGTATATTTTTTTCATTTTTCCAGTAAAAAATAAATAGTCAATAATCAATATAAATAATAAAATATAAGTATTAGATACAAAATTGATCAGTATTCTTTGCTAAATAATTACGTTATTTTTACAACTAACAATGGATTTGGCTAGTGATGGAGGCCGATTGTGTCCTAAGAACAATGTCTTTTTGCATAGATATAGGATAGAGTAAATATTAATATACGGTTTGATAATGGCTAGTTAGGAAAATTGCAAATTATGCAGGTGTAAATTATTTATATTTATTAATTTAATTCCTTATCATATATAAAAATTTTATTGTTTAATAAAAAAATATTAATAATTATATTTCATTTAATCTATAATAGACAGTTTTGATCGTTTATTTTGAATAATATAATGGAGAAAATAACAGCTATATTTTTTAGTCTTGAATTGATTATAGCCCCCAGACTGAATCTGGTCTGGGTAATTGTGCCGTCTAAATTTAATAGAGTAGCAATTAAATTATTGATTGGATAAATTAATAATTAACATTTTAATAAAAATATTGTTAATTTGAGCACAAATGAAATAAAAAGCTAACAAGAACTAACTTATAATTCGAAATCAGTAGTACTAAGAAGTATGAATTGCAAGTCAGCCAGGAATCTAAAACGGAGTTGGCCCAAGAGTCTGATTTTCAGAGTCTACTGAATTAAACTCGCCTTGAGTTGCGGCTAAATCGTAGGTATTTAACAACACTACTTTTGGCTTATAATTTTTATTGTTGAAATTATCATATTTTTTTTCAAGGGTTCATTATGAAAAATGGAATCAGATTCAGATTCTTAGAAAAATATAATAGAGGATGGATTCATCGATTTTTAAATTTTTTCTCAGATCAGACCAGACCTGAAAAAATTGGTCCTAGCAGGGCTTTAATAATGACTATTATATATTTTAATTTTTAATGGAAATTCAAAATATTTATAAATAAATCCTATTTGTCATTTTATCTTAATTTTATAACTTACCCAGAGCAAAATATTTTATCAACAATGGTACATTAATAACTGAACTGGTTTTCATATAAAAAAAATTTGTCTCATTAAAATTTAAAAATTTCCCAAAATACATTTAAAACTATGTATTAAAGGTAAAAAAAATACTGATTAATATTAATAAAATAATATAAATGGAACTCCTTTTTTATATAAAATTCGATAAAACTTAAAAAAATATAAATTTAATTAAAAATCATATGAATGAAAAGGTTAATAAAAGTTAAATATAATATAAAAATATAAACTTAGGAATGGAAAAGCAAAATATGCCACAAGGGTAATTAAAGCCCCTAATGTAGGAATTTGAATTTTGTAAAGGACATTTATCATGAGTCACACTATGTGCTATAAAAATAAAATAAGTGGTCAAATCAAATAAATATTTTTTTATATAATATAGTGCTCATCTCAAGTCAAAACAAAATAATATCATTTAAAAATAAATATATTTAAATATAAAACAAAAAACTTTGAAATTAAAACAAAAAACTTTAAAATTAAAACAAAAATTTTTTAAAATTTTTATAATTAAAATGTAAATATTTATTTCTAATAAATAGAAACTTTACCATTTCAATTTTTGCCAATAAAATAATAATTTCTACTGAAACAATATTTTCATAACATTCATAGACAAACCAAAAAAATAAAATTTATTTTTAAAGCCTTAAAAAATAAAAATGTTTTTTATGTACTTTATAATTTTCCCATACATTCACAAATAATTATGTAAATTAGAACTAGTTTGGAACCACAGTTTCGATTTACATTGAAAATGGTCCTCTTAAATTTAACAAGATTTTGAGAGTTACAGGCTCACATTCCAAACTCAAGCAATCAAGAAAAAATTAACCCTATAAAATGAATGACCTAACATTTTAAACAATATATAAAATTTATATGAACAGAACCATTCCATGAAAAAAGGGTCCATTCTATGAATTTTAAAAGAGTGTTATAGGTCCTGGTTGCTAGATTTGTTATGGTTTTGTAGGTTTAAAAGAAATCAAATTTCAAATTTGTTATTTTTTATAATTGTAAAAACAAAATATCAATTAATAAAAAATGAAAACAATATTGATATTACAGGTAAAGCAAATGACATTATCTCTTTTTGTAATTTTTGTGACATCCACAAACTCTCTAGGAGACAATAAGCCCATAAGACCTCCCTTTACATAGGCTCTTGTTATAAAGGTATCCTATTTGTTAACTATTAAAATTATCATTTTATTATCACATTACTTTATCTATAATTTCAATTTTTTCTAACATTTCTAAATTTTTATCCCAAGTGAGTCGAAAAGACATATCATTATGCTTTTGAGGAAATACATATTCAAATACAATTTCTGGTGGTGCATTCAATTGGCATTCCAATTTGTATCTGTTTTTGGGGGTATTAAATAAAATAATTAAATATTTCAAGATTATTATAAGCAGAGCATTCTTATTAAATAATTTTTTAGCCTACATAAAATTATTTTAACCTACCAATAAAAATTATTTAAAATATATTATAATTGCTTGAAATAACATATTTTAAATTAAGATTTATATATCAGTTACATGTTTCCATCATAATCAAGGGATTGTTTGAAATATATTGTGGCATTATCCTTTAATATATTAAATTATCATACAAATTAAAAATACTATTTTTTTCGCAATTTTCCATCCATCTAAATTATGGTAGTTGAACAATTTATCTGCAGTGATTGCTGCAAGAATTTTAAAATCCATAGATCATATGCCTATAGTTGAGGTACAATTTATCAAAACATATGATAAAATGGATAATAATCCTCGTATCGTACCGCCTTATTATTTTTTAGTTATAATTAGGCATTTTGTCGGTAAACTTTTGGCTAAATTTCGCTTAAGCTTGAAATTTATATGCTCAAATTTTCTTAAGCTTTTTTATGCATATCTTAAGCTTACTGCTCAATTTACATGGTTTTATAAATATCATATTGCAGCTCTTTAATCAATAAACTAAATTACAGTAAAAGTATATTTACTTTAATATTAAATATCTTAATCAGAGTTGTACAAAAGATCTTCTTCTTTGAAGATTTTTGAGCGAGATCTAGCTCAAAAATTTGAGCAAGATCTTTGAAGATCGTAAAATTTGAAGATCTTTTATTTATAAAAAATTTGAGCAACGATCTTAAAAGATCTAGATCTTTGAAGATCGTAAAATTTGAAGATCTTTTATTTTTTAAAAATTTTGTGTAACGATCTTCAAAGATCTTCATGATATTTATTTTTTTACCCCTTTATCCAGATGTTTTTCAATTTTATTAATATAATATTTCTTTTATGTTTTATACCTCTCCTCCTGCCTTGATGAAAGAAAAAAATAATTTTTTTTTAAAAAAAAATATTGACACAGCATGTTTCTAAAATTTTTGTAAAAAAAGAGTGCCTACAAGAATATTTTTTTTGATTGATATAAGAGTTTTTAATATTATCATTGAAAAGTGAAATAATTTTTAAAAAATATTTAAAAATTTATTGAAAAGCTTCCTTTTCTTCCGAAATTTTTTTAAAAAAATAAAATTATAACTGTTTCCAATGAGAGTGTAGGTAGTGTTGCATATTATATAATAGTAAAGATGTGCTAAACCCATATTTTAAAAAAATTGGGTTTGGGCTTTGTCGGTTCTAAAAAAAATCTTAAAAATTCCGGCCAGGTCGGGTAGTGCCTTGGAAATTTTTTAAAATAAATATAAATATATGAATAATTATAAAAAATTAATTTTTGTTGGCTGTGCTGGTAAAATTTTTTTAATCGGGTTCGAGCCGTTTTTAAAAATTTTGGGTTGGGCTTGAAAAATTAGGCCCTATGCAGATCACTATAATACATTATTATAATATATTTTCCTCTCGCTAATTAATAAGTAATTACTATGTTTAAGATAACACATTTGCATTTTATATATCCAGTAATAAATTTTTATTTCATTTTTTTTTAAATTTTTAAATCAAAATATAAATCTTTTTTTTTTGTGAGTTTTAAAAATAATTTCCGGTATTGAAAAAAAGGAATAAAAAAAACAGACCAGTCTATGGGTCTTGGAAACTTTCTTAGAAAGTGTGTCAGCATACCCTGGCTTAATAAATTTATCGCTATGCCAATTCCCCTTACTACTAGTTCAGAATGAGGTGCTAACTTTCTTTTAATTTCATCGCTATTTTTTAATATTGATTTTTTAAATAATTTTAGAAATGTATCTATTGGACATATATATTTGATAACATTAGTTCCTAAATTTGATTGAGATAATTAGAATACTTTTGGATATTCGTATTATTTAAGGGGGGGGAGGGGGGATGTGCCTATTCTAAAGTCAAAATATAGTATAATTTATGATATCAATTTATACTTTTTATTTTTTATTAATTAATAAAGTTTAATAATTATTATTAAGGATAATTTATCTTAATGAGGGTCTGAACCCCGGGTCTGTGCTCAGAGCTGGTTTGGTCGATTTTTTAGACCCAAACCCCGGGTCTGGTTTTATACAACCAACCAATTAACAACACTTTAATATTAAGTAAAAGTCATGCTTTTACTATTTACAACGATATAAAATAGCAAGTTGCGATTTTAAAAATAAAAGTAAAACAAAATTAACACTTTCCCAAGATGTCTAGGAAATGTCATAAAAACTACCAATAAAATCAGAATGATATGATATATTTGTCATTAGTTATTTTTTAAAATAGTTTAAAAGAATTTTTTCTTCTAAGAGATGTACTTCAAAATTTATGAATAATTTACCTATTATTTGATAATTAATTTTTTTTACTTTATATACTCTAACTCAACGCATTTTTAAATCTTTCTATTTCTTTTAAAAATATTTTAAAAACGGCAAATCCAGTCAATTATATAGATGGCACAAAAGTTTGGACATCTATCAGCGAATTGGCGAGGTTTATGTTAGGTCATATTAATAATAGCATGCCGAGCCAAACTGTTTATCAAATTCGTATATACTATAATTATATTTTTTGTGTATTATATTTTGATGTTTATAAAATGAGATTATTGTACATTTTTAAAAAATTTTAATAAAATTTGAATATTAGATTGAAGAAATAATTTAAATATTTTTTATAAGCATTTCTAATTCTAAAAATCGGACGTTTTTGGCCAATTTGTTTGTATAACGTTAAATGAAATCACTAGGTTTTATTTCGTTTATTTTCTGTAAATTGTTATATGCTAATGAAAATTAGTTTCCTTAAAAGTGTCATCTTGAAACATTATATCTGTTTATAATTTTTTTTGCAAAAAATTATATATTTTTTTTATAAGCTTTAGCAAAATTTTCGAATAGAATCGAATATTCGACGAATCGAAACGAATAATTATTTTATTATTCGTACGAATACTAATAACGCAATTATTCGATTCGTATTTTCGAATCGAATACGAATAATAGTATTATTCGATTCAATTTGTTTTTTGTAGGCTTACTTAAAACAAGTATGTGTCTAAAGTAAAATTAATTTTGATTTTTTTCAGTATTTCAAAAGTTTTGGTTAAGCCTTACATCCTATATATATAAATATTTTATTTTGTGTTTAAATTAATTGTCATTTTAAAATTAGTATCCCTTCACCTTGTAAAATAAAATTTCATTAAAATGATTTTTTTTATTTATTCAAATAACAAATAAGACATGATATAATATTTTTAATTACAAATATTCAAATAAATATTTTATATAAATAAAAATTAAAATATAACGTTTAATAAATTTTTATTAAGCTTGATTAATAAAATATCGTTTAAAGTAGATTTGTCCAATCTGGTTCGTAAAGGCGTTACGATCAATCCTAGGGCACTGAAGGATCTTTCAAGACACTTGAGAACAAGGAGCAGCTAGAACTACTCGAGAGAGGGTATATAATTTAGGATCTTGATATTTTTTGGATTGCCAATACTGCAAAATATTTTGATCAGATGGCAATTTTTGGCCATATATATTAAACCATTTATTTTGGTCTTCATATCGATACTTTCAATATTTTGGTATATTGGAGCATTCGCGCTTTCTCGCTCCAAATATAAATCCAGCCTGGTTTTTTTAGAACATAGGAATAACAGGAGAGCCAATCAGAGATTGATTGTCTTTTGGCTTATTAAAGATTTGAATTTGTCTCCACGTAGACATCAGATGGTCCTAAAATAAATTTTTTTATATTTAATTTAAAGTCAAATATTATAAATTTACCCTAGCCTGTAATTTATCGTATTCAGATGGATAGATTCCATTTTGATAATTAAATCTGGGATCCATGTAGATCCCACTTCTAAATACATTATTATCGAATAAATATTTCTGACGGTTATCCAAACATTTTATCAAATCATTAGAGAATTCGTTATTGATTTCCTCTAAATCTAATTTGCATTCCAGCCAGAGTTTAAAAAAATCCCCTATGGTACAAGATTTTTCTTGTAATTTTATTGTACATGTATTAGCCGGCGATAATACTGTGAGATATGTTTGAATTCTATCCCACAGTAGCGAATTAATAAATGTTTCAGAATATATTTGCCCATGTAAAAAATTATATTATCAGATTTTTTAGCATTCTATAGGTGCTATTCCACCTAGTGACAGTGTCCAACACTGGTTTATTAACTTTTTCTAGTGTATATAAATTTTTATATTTTTGTGATTTAAATAATTTAAGAATCGATCTTATTTCATCTAGGTCCTCCTTAATAAATTTTTTTATAAAATCATTAACCCCTTATTGAATTGTATGGGCACAACAACGCACACAAATCAGCCCAAATGATTTTCTTAGATCCTTTATTAAATTTTCCAAGTCATCATTTATTTTATCTTCATCATCGTGTTGAAGATCATCTTGATTTTGATTATGTATAATATACTCCTCAGACGAATCACTATCATTTATATTTGAAATAGGGCTGTCATTTGCCTGGGCGATCTCTTTATCATTTAGAGAATCGTTAATTATTTGCGATGAAGACTCATTATCATTCATTTGGGACAAATTTTCTGAGAAGGCATCTTCATAAAGATCAAGATGAGTAATTAGCTGTTCTTCGGCTATCATTTCAACGGTTTTAACCATATTAGCACCATTGTCAACTGTTATACTGTATATTTGGCTCAAACATATATTATACTGTTTTAATAAATTATCTATTTCTTCCTTTAAATTAGATGCCGTGTGCGCCTTTACAATTTCTAACATACCCAAAGTTCGAATTTCGATCTTATCATCCATAATAAATTGGGCATTAACCCCCAACACTGATTTTTGAAATCTTGTGGCAGTATCTATCTTCAAAGAAATGAGCTTATTTTTTAGTTGTTGCATTATCTGGCATCTTATTTCTGACTCAGCATATTTTAATTTATCAATTACGATATGTTTGTTTATAGTCATATTCAACGATTGGACTATTGGATCTAATAATAGCCTGAATGATTCATATGTTACTAAATTAATTGGCATGTTGTTAATGGCAATTAATCCCACAACCGATTCGTAAACCTAATTTATTTTTTAAAAAAATAATAAAATATTTAAAATTAATAATTATTTTAGAACCCTGCAAAATTCAACTTTCAGGTCAAATCAGATTCAAAAATACCTTTTATATTTTATTTGGTAATCAATCAGATAGATTTTTATAGAATAGATGAAAATTATAGTTTTAATTCAATTTAAAATTGAAAAAAAAAGTGAAAACAAATTTTTTCCTAGAAAGAG